GGAACCTTTGATGTGGATAAGAAAATAATCATAGACTGATGGAAGCAGTAAGACTTCATTTAAATAAAGACATGAATATTTAAATAAAAAGACATATGAACATATTTATAGGCACAACAATTGCTTCCTTATATTTTCCATGAAATAAATATTCTTCCTGTTAATTATACAATACTTTTTGCATACACACAAGGTTAACCCCTATTCCACATTTATTATTAGATAAAGCCAAATAAAATATGTTTTATCCATTGTTCTAAAGCTAAGTTTTTATGGTCGCATAGGCTATCGCAGGAGGTAGGTAGAACTCAGAGCCTCTGAAAATTGTACCATAGGTAGATTGGCTATATTTTCATGCTATATCTTTAAACCCATACATAATGGTCCGAACACAAAGTCTGCTCAATCATACGAGGTTATGAGAAATGAGTAATTCTAGAGATAAGCAGGAAGACACACAAGACTGCCATTTTCTGATTCTGGAAAGTATGGAAATGCTCAACAAAAGGATGGGATGCATATATCACAGAGATACAGAAGCCAAGTTGATGTCACCCACTGGTCCAATTAAGAATAATTTGCACATCAACATAATTAAACACAGTAATTAAGCAATAACATTACAAATAATTTTAAAGGTTGGGAATACATGTCATAAGAAGTTAAATAACTGCGAAATAGGTTAAGGTAAATTTCTTGTTTACAGTAGAATCTCAAGTATGAGCTGGTAAAAGTAGAAGGATCATTGAGGCTAGAAAACAATCATTCATTTGAGCATCAAAGTAAAGACTGATTCATGAAATAACCACAAAGATGTCAAAAGTAGGGGGAGAATTAGTAGATAGCAAATATTTACATATGTTGGTCTCTCATCTCTCCTGGCAAACTGATTATTGATAGCACGAGTGAGGATAAAGGAAGACAACCATGCAGGACAGAAACCAGAGAATTACAGAGATTGGATAACTGAAGTTAACATCACAAATGAAGGACAAGTGTTCATCACGTGCCTTGAATATGATTCTTTGAGAAGGGTACATCTTTGCTTATTTAATTTCAGATGACTATAATTAGAATGCAATCACCAGGAAATATGAGACAAACCCCCAAATGAGAAACGTTCCATTTTTAAGAAGGGTACGAACACTGTTGGGAATTATCAGCGCTCAGTAATGACAAAGAAAGGCTGGGAAATTAATCCCCAAACTAAAGTAGTATGATGGCTAAATATAATAAGGCACCCTGGATTGAATTGTGTATGAGACAGGAAGGTATTCTGAGAGGATACTATTGGATCAGTTCACAAAATTGGAATATGAGCTAATTGTATCAAGCATGATGCCAATGTTCGACTTATTGAAGTTGAAAACTGCTCATATAAAGTATCTTTCCTTTTCAGAAACACCCCTGAAATATCTAGAGATAAAAGAGGCTAAGATATATGCCTTGAATACTTTGAAGCAGTCACTTGTCTCAAATCACTGAATGTATATATCTACATGTATATTTCTAGCTACAGTTCCTTACTTAATGACGGTAAAACACAATTTTTCAACTTTACCATAGTGTAAAAATGACATGTTTTCATTAGAAAATATACTTTTTTTTTTTTTTTTGTACCAGGGATCAAACTCGGGACCTTGCACTTGCGAGGCAGGTGGCAGCACCACTGAGCTAAATCCCAGCCTGGAAACTATACTTTGAACTTTGATTTTTCTCTGGCTGCCTATATGCAGTGCAATTCTGTCATGAATCTAGGCAGTGAAAGCGAGCCACAGGCACTAGCCAATCATGCTGACAATCCACTGTCATTCTTCATTGAGCTGTGGGGTTCTGGTAAGGTAGTATTTAAATGCATTTTTGATTTACAATATTTTAACCTTAACATGGCTTTATCAGGATGTTACCACTTTGTCAGTCAAGAAACATCTGTATATATAATGATACATACTCAACACAGAGCAGAGGATGAATTAAATGGACAAAATAATGATGGCTGAAACTGAGTAGAGGATATAGGGTGCTTCTATTTTTCCCAGAACATTTTAAAATATAAATTTGAAATTCATTCCCAAATATTGAACAGAAAAAATATTAAAAATATCATTGCTATCGATGAACGGTAGGGAAGCTCATATTTCAGAAATTATCTCAGGAAAAATGTTTTTGGTGGAAGTACACTGAGTTGCTTGAACTAACATTAGAATGGCAACTCCAGCTGGCTCTAGTGATGTTCATGGTTGGTTGAACACACGGCTTTATCTTTCTGTTGTTGAGAGAAAAGCTCTGTTACACTGTCATCTTGTGAACAGGCATTTATTGTTAGATATAAAGATCAGAATTGACAATGGATGATCATCCAAGAATTATCAAAGGCACTAATAAAAAGTGAAACAAATAAATAGCCACTGCTTCCAGTATGTATTGATGAGTCACCTTCACGTGTTTTTAGCACAAAGCCTCGTTCATATGTCGACAGCTCTTTTGAGACATAATTTTTTCATGATACAGCAAATGAAAGCAAAATATCATGCAATATACTGATGTTTCTTGGGCAAAATATGAACATATTAATGAAGTTCAAAATTTGTCTTTCAAATAGAAATATGTAAGTTGAAGGAAGCTAATTGAATTATCAGATACTTTGCTTAAGGTAGAAATTTCATGATGCCACATATTTGACTATAGATCATTAGTGAATTGTAATTTGAAATTATTGGAAGCATTTATAAAAATATCTTGTAAGTCTAGCTATTCATTGTGTAACCGTTAATATTTATGCTAATTTTACTCATTTTCTCAGCATGGCAGGATTACAAAAACAAGTTTGTACAATTTAACTTATAAGTCCAATCTGTCTTCTTCCAGCTTCATGATGTGATCCACTATCATTATTCTAATAACTTCACTAACCAACATTCCTATTTAATTACACTAAAAATTTATCTAAGCACTTAATAAAATAATACACTAATGACAAGCACCACAAATAGCAGTCAAATCTAAAATATTAATCTTAAATTATATGAAGATGAGATTATGTGCTGCATTCTTACAAAAATTCTGTTGCCATGTCAGACTCAAGCGACTGGGAAGATGGGTAGAATTAGCTGTACTTGTATATATTATGTTATACTTTTTTAAACAAATTGATGCCTATTATTATATATTTCATTCATATAATGGCCTGGACACATGCTTGATCAAATGGTTGATAGCTATAGTTAGGGGGAATGAGTTGACGTGATCTAGGTGTTTATGATATTTTGTATCCCCAAAAACTGAAGAAAGTAGGTTTTAAGTATTTTTACTACAAAAATTACTATGTGAGGTAATGCATCTGTAATTAGGTAGATTTTTCCATTCTGCAAGGTATATATACTTCAAACCATCTTGTTATATGTGATAAATGTGTATAATTTTGTCTGTCAATATAAAAAATAGCCAGACATTATTATGCAATTTTTAGAAAGTAGGAAACCAGCTAAGAGTCACTGAAGCTCGGAGAACTGCACAAGGATTGGCTGAATTGGCTGAATTGGCTGAATTGATGAATAAAGATGTCATCTTAAAAGCACATGGATCCAAAAACTGCTAGTCTTGAATTTGTTTCCCTTTTACCCTTTAGAGAAACTGGTCATGAATTCAGTGCTCTCGTTCCCATTTTTGGATTTTACAGCAGCTCTACTGAGCCAGGTGTCAGTGGAAAAGAGCACTCTCTGACTTCACAAGTACGACAGAGGCTGCCAGTTATATTTAGACAAGTGTGTCCGCTGTCCTGTTGGTTTTTACTCTCTGGAATAAGTAACACTAAGCATGTGTTGTGGACCAGTCTCAGTACAAATGAAGAAACTGAAAGACACTTAGGGACCAGTGACATTAAATGAAGGATTAGCAGACAAGGTAGATATTCCAATTGATTCTTTCCAAACCTTGGTAAAAATCTCCCTTCTGATTTTATTGATTGACTGATTGATTGATTGTTTTTTGAGACAGGGTCTCACTATGTCATTGAGATTGATCTGGAACTCATTATGTAGCCCAGGGTGGTTTCGAACTCACAGTGATCCTCCTGCCTCAGCCTCCAGAGTGCTGGGATTACAGGTGTGTGCCACCACGCCTGGCTTCCTTCTGATTTTATTGATAGCAATTTCATCACACCACCATTGTTGTTGTTACTTCCGCTATAGTAAAATTAAATTAAATTATAACAAAATGCAATTTGACTTATTTGAAATGAAGTAGGATCTTATCTGTTCAAAGTATCACTGTCATTTCCAAGGAACGCCCAAAACTACATCGTTTGAACTTTAAACTGTACACCACTATCAAAGCAGTGGATGTGAAAATAGTCCTACTTTGTTGCTGACCATCATCACCTTCCTAAAATTAATTTAATCTCTCTGGAGAGGATACACAACGTAGTGAAAGCACTGGGAACCCATAAACACATCTCAGCCTTAATTTCACCTACCTGTGATACCCATGTGTGCGAGTTACTTACACTCTACGGTTTCTAGATCCCTCATCAGTTAGGATTTAATTCTAACTCCAAAATCCTTGATTCTGAACAGCAGTTTGAAATTAGAACCCAGCAACCTCACAATTTGTATAATTTCATCTCCCCTGATTACTTTAGCAGTTCATGCTGGCCTATTAACATGTGAATGCCGATTGAATAAATCCTTTACACATTGAAATCAAGATTTCTCTCTGGTGATATTTCTATTTCAGTCTTTTGTTTGTTGATTTATGATTATCCAGTACACTAAAGTGAAAATAACCTTGAGTAGGAATCAAAAGATGGTTTTATCCTGGGCTCTACTGAGCATTCATTTGACTTTTATGAACGACAGTGCGCATAGGTAGAAAGTGTAGGTATTCCAGTGTGCATCTGTCTACCTCACGGATAAAATACAGTTGGCCCACGTCCTGGACAAGTGAGGCTGTGGAAGAATAAAGGCTAGCACACCACACGGACATATTCATAGCCACTCTACCTGACGGGGAGATGTGTCGCCAAGAAATGGATGGCTCTGGCTTCCCGGTGGCCAGACAAGTAAGGGTCACATTGGTTCCTTCGTTGATGGTCATGTCGCTGGAGATGTCGTATATCTTCGGAGGAACTGAAATGGGAAAACATGCAGTGGTCAGAAAAAAGAAACACTGACTATTGCTGAACAGCAGTGACTGACTTCTTGACATCCTGAAATAAAGATACAGCCACAAAATTTCCTCCAACCCTCTGGTCTTCACCTAAAAGGTGAGTTCTACATGACCTCAAAACAACTGTTGTTGATGTTGTTGCCTGCCTGTATTTTCTCTAATTATTAGATATAAAATACTTAGTGATGAATGGAACAGGTAATGTAAAACGTTCAATATTGATTAAATTATTTATTGCATTATTTGTGATTAATGAGGTAGAATACATCAGCCTGTTTATTCCACTGAAGCATCTTTACAGTAAGGATGGATCATCTGCTGAATATTGAAATGAAAGCGGAAACCTTGAGGAAAGTTCAAACAGCAGAACAGTTAAAAAGGAACACAAATTCTAAGGCACATGCAAGGTCAATTCAATGAGTTCTCATGTCAATCATGACTAGAAAATGCTAGTTGAGAAACATATCTTAGTGAGAAGCATCTCTTAGTACTACTCAGGGCCTTTGTTTACTCTTTTATTTATTTATTTATTTTGGCACAGGGGATCAAACTCAGGCCCTTGTGCTTGCAAGGCAGGTCGTGGAACCACTGGGCTAAATCCCCAGCCCATCTTTTTTTTACTTTTATGCACTGTGAATTTATAAGAGTGATGGGAAATATCAGACTGCGTGTTTTCTGTGGAAGCTTTTGTCTAGAATTGTTGAACATGGGATAAAATTTGGAAAATGTGAGAAATAACAATGTCTAAATTAGCTTTTGGAATTATATTAAGATATTTTGTAGGAGTCCAAATTTCTCACTTAATCCTCAAATGGATATGAATTCTCTATTCTCTACAAGCTGGCTTTGTTACCCAGGTGAAGATGTATAATCCCCCTTAGCCTGTTATCTTCCTGTAAAAGCTAGATACATGAGAGTAAAAACCCTGTAAGCTGCTGGGGATTTAGCTCAGTGGTTCTGGCACCTGCCTCGCAAGCACAAGGACCTAAATTCAATTCCCCGTACCAAAAAAAAAAAAAATAAATAAATAAATAAAAATCTAGAAAACTGTAAGGTGCAAAGCGGGTAAAGGGTTAAGTGTGTCAATCTGTGTTAAAGGGCAGAGAAGCATCTCTGTCATCATTGTGAGCTGCTGGGATTGGATATTGCAAAGCACATTTACGGAGTGTGAACTTCAATTTCTGTACTCTCCCTTTCCCAGCTTTAAAACTCTTCTGGAATTTCATAACTTTGATGGTGCATAGGATGAACTTATCAAAAAGTACGTTTGGCTTACTTTATCAATATTATACTATGCTGATGTCCCAGGTCTAATTTAAAGAAGAGGCGATTACTTTGGTAATTATTAGGAAAAATATGACTTTTTCAAACTCAGATCCTTTTAATTGTTTCATTCTGTTTCTTTCAGCAAGAAATATTTTCATAGTTATTTCTAAAGCCAGTAACTATATATCCATCAACAGATGAATGGATAAAATATGTGATAGTCATACACAATGGAGCACTACTCTGCCATAGAAAGGATAAACTTGAGTCATGTATTGGAAAATGGATGTATCTTGAGACCATAATGGTAAGTGAAGTAATTCAGGCACATAAGCTTTAATATTGCATGATTTCTCTTATTTGAAAAAAAACCACATATATATGACAGATAATAGGAATAAGTGGGGGGTACTGTAATCCACTACAAAAACTGTATCTAAAAAGTACAAAGATCTTATGTTGTATATGTCCTTTGGCCTAATAGTCTGCTTTTCAATCTGCATATATAATTAACTGTATAATATCTTATAAGATAAATAAATGAATGTGATACTAAAAAAATAAACAGTAGGAGAATGGAAGCCAGCAAAAGAAGAGGCTGAGATGTGTTATGTACACGTACCAATCCCCTACAGTGAATGCAGTCATTATATACTACAAATATGTAACACTGAAAATGGAGCAAAGAAGCCAGCAACTAAAATGTGCTGTAACTATACATTAAATTAATCACACTTTGAATATTACCCTTCTGCTACAAAAGCGATCTGGATGTATGATTATAAACATAAAATATTTGACTATATGGAACTGTTGATGTGACTGAGGCAAAAGACTGGTTCTTAGGTAAGATAGTATAACTATTCCTAAATGGTATTTTAATTGGAATTTAAAACAAATTATCATGTATCTCTTTAGTGAGCTCTTCTCACACACAGAATGAAGAAAACATTCCAAACAAAAGACGATTTTCAGCTTAAATGAAACAGAGTGGAAGCAAAGGCATTAAAGTACTGTAGAAGGAAAATTTTATATGATTTTCTAGTGAATTGGAAAGTCAATAAAAATGAAGTTAGGCTGTGCATGGTCGTGCACTCCTGTAATCCCAGAACCTGGGAGGCTGAGGTAGGGGAATTCCATGAGTTCAAGGCCAGCTTGAAATGCATAGTGAAACCCTGTCTCAAAAAAATAAATAAAATAAACAAAAATGAGTTTAGAACACTAAACAAAAATATTATTTTGATATTTGGGTAGATGTATAAGTTTGGTATAGAAAGCTGTGAAATATATGTGGCTATATATGAACTCATGTAAGTATACATACATGAATATACTCCTACATACAGGTCACCACTAAAAACACAGAAAAGTTACATAGCATTTTCTGACTTTGCACAGAAGACACTATACAGAGCTCCTAGTCTAGTCAGGCTACTGTCTTGAGATGATGGTGTGTCACAAAAGATATAACCTATCCTCTAAAATAAGTACACTATTAGGTTAATTTTATCTGATCATAAAATAGATCAGTTGCATCTTTATACACCTGCCTATATTGGCGGTGTGAATGATCAGAACAAGCTAATATTAAGTACTCCCATTTTTCTACATAAACAACCAAGTCCCTTAGCAAGAAACTCAGGTTTGACATTTAAGTACGGGGGAAACAAATGCGGCAGGGGCCGAGCAGTGAATTCCAGTTGTGACTTGTCACGTCAGTGACTGCAGTCACCTCCCAGAGCCTCATGATTCAGAACGTGCCACAGGCAAGAAGCAGCTGGAAAGAGGACATTAGTGAGAGAAAATCATCTGGAGCAGCTCATTCTCCCCAGAATGAATCATCTATTGACAGAGGCACTCTGTGAGGAGGACAAGGAAATTCTTCTTAGGCACTGTGGCATATATATATATATATATATATATACATACACACACACACACATATATATGATTATTGAAAACCACTGTCATTCAGTGTTCACAACTTGCAAATTTTTACTGAGTATTATGGAGGGGATAATTCTGAGCCCAAAGGAAATGCAAAAATTTAAAACCATAATCCTTACCCGGAGAAACTTAAAAGAGAAAAGCATATGGCAAAGTAACCAAGAGAAAGTAAGTACTTTCCACATTTTCCTTTCCCATTTTACAGAAGTAACATATCCGACAGATACATCTTCTGTTTCAAATCAGTAAAGACTTTTTTTCATGTTGATTTCTCCCAAAGTGAATCATATGGTTTACACACCAAGTTATTCAGTACAGTGCTATAGATAGCGCAGGACACCCGTTAACAACCTCAGTGTAGGACAACAGAAATGGAAATGCACAGAGCTGGTTAGGTGGGTGATACAAGCTGCTGTCATTCCTGTGAACAGAGTTAGATTTGGTACTAGAGAAGGACTTGGCCTGGTCACAGGGCACATCAGACTAAGGGAAATGCAAGAGGGAAGAGATGCTTTCTCCCTGGATGTAGCAGCAGGGAAGAATGGCAACACTTCAGGCTTCTGAATTGGTTCTGGTAGCTGTACACACAGTGGGATTTTTTGTTTTGCTTATTTGTTTGTTTTTAGATGAATGCACCCAGGTTGGGGGTGGGTATCTCAAATTTTGGGGACATTTGAAACATCTTCTGGTATGTCTGTTTTTCTAAGGGCTGTCACTATTATATTATTATTATTATTATTATTATTATTATTATTTTGAGATAGGGTATTCCTACATAGTTCAGGCTGGCCTTGAATTCACTCTGTAGCCCAGGCTGGTTTTGAACTCACAGTGATCCTTGGGCCTCAGCCTCCTGAGTGCTGGGATTACAGGTATGTGCCACAATGCCTGGCTCTGTAAAGGCTTTCATTGTAAACAAAAGCAACAAAAAGAGACATAAAAGTGAGGGGTGATTTTTAAAGCAACTTAATAAATGTATGTTCCTTTCCTATAGACCTGATTTCAAAATTTAAAATAATGTATATAAAAGGGGTCAGATATACTTAATCAGCTTGATAATTTTAAGGCATTAAGTTATTACAGATTTTAAAAAAGTATTTTGGATTGTGATGCACATTCTTTTCATGTTCATGACCAAGGACAGTGTAATAAAGAAATAGATAACTCCTCTACTATATATATGTATATATACATATATATTATATATATTGCTTAGATGTCTCCCCAAAGCTTCATGCAGTTACAAATGGGGCTTTATGAAGCCCGTGTCCCTGATGCGAAGGGTATGGGTTACACCGAGCACAAGGTTTGTACCATGGATGGGATAAAAGCCATGCTGATTGCTGATGCTTTTTGCTGCTTGTTGCCTCCTGCTGCCTAACCATGAACTGTTTTTCCTCTGAGATGCCACTCAGCCTTAGAACAAGCCAACTATGCCCTGAAATCTCTGCAAACTGTGAGCTGACATGAACCTTTACTCCTTTAACTTGTGTGTGTTGGGTATCTTCTCTCACCAACAAGAAAAGTAACAAAGATGCCATCTAAGTATGAATCTGTTCAATATGTAAGAAATGATTATTATAACATCATCATCATCACTTTGATTATCTTCACAACTCCTTAAATAAAAGTGACAAAAGGTAGAAGTTCTCGATTTCATACAACAGCATGGACTGTCTCCCTCCTAGTGGCCCTCTAATGGAGGATGTTTAGGCCTTTACAACTTAGTTCTTTTTTTTTTTTGAGG